CGACTTTAGAAGAATTTTTTTAAAAAACTTCATTGTTTGAATTAAAGGACAACTTCATAAATAACTGTGCTCACAGTTCTTCTCCAAAATGGCTTTTTATGAAGAAAATTTCTGTATAAACAAATATAAGAGATCAAAGAGCATTACTACTCTAAGAGGCTTGGCTCTCTCTCAATAATTTACGATGTCATTTTTGTTTGTAAAATGAAGTTGACTAAGGAGTCCTATTGTGAATACCTGCCCCCCAATTTTTTTTAATTTTCCAATTAATTTTTAAACCCTAATTGATTTTTAAATACATATTTTGTATACTAGGTTTACGGATTTCACTATTACACTTGCATTTCATCTCAGCAGTATATTTCAAGAGAAGACTTCCATTTTTCTTTATTCTTTAAAAGGTTGAGATGTTTTGTTTTATTATGTGAAGAACTGTTCTTGTTAAACTGGTACTCAACAGAGAATACTGCTTTTATTTCTTTCTATCCTCAAATTGAACAAAAGATGACAGGCAAAAAATAAGAAGTTTTTTTTAAATCAAATTTTTTTCACAAATAGCTCATTTGATGAAGTTATAGTACCTCCTTTTTGGCTGAGATCAAAATCAGAGCTTCAGTATTCATTTATTCCTACATTTGATCCTTAGAGACATGAATCTGTGGACCACATGACACAACGCTAATGTTTGTGATTCAGAAAGGCCATTTAAAGTAGACATTCCTTAGTGATTTTTTTCTCTTCCTGTCTTATTTCCGTTCTCCTTCTTCCTCCGATTTCTTCCCTTTTTACTTTCTTCCTTTAGCTGTATACCCTATAATTTAAGTCATAAATAGGTGGGCCAGACAGTGATGGCTCCGCTTGTATCCTAGCTCTGGGCGGGGATTGTCAAGGTCAGGACTATCGAACAAGCTGGCAACGGAGACCGCCGTCTCTACTATAAATAGAAGAAATTATTGCAACGTAATTATCATTAACTTAGCAAGGCATGGTGGCGATCGTACACCTAATCAGGAGTGGGCAGGAGCTGCTTGAGCAGGAGTTTGGGTTGCTGTGAGCCTAGGCTGACCTGGTACTCCTCCGTAGCTGGCCCAGGAGACTTCTGTTCAAAAACATAATAAGTCCAAATTTAATAAACTATTTAATTAAGTTAATTTATGTTAAATCAGATTGAAGCTGGGTGCGGTGCTACCTGTACTACCTCTGGAGGACAGAGGCAGGCGTGGCTTTGAGTCAGGTTCGAAACCACCTGACAAGAGGAGACTGTCTCTACATATAGATAAATTATGCACTAATAATATAGAAATTCGCGCATGGTGGTGCTGCTGTAGTGCAGCTACTGGGGAGGCTGACGCGCGATTGCTTGAGCAGGAGTTTGAGGTGCTGTGGCTAGGCTATGCCACGGCTTCACTCTAGCCTGGGCATGCGAAAGCGAGACTCTGTCTAAAAAAAAAAAGGCGGGGCTGTGCACGCCTGTATCTAGCTCTTGAGCGAGGCGGCGGATTGCTCAAGGTCGGAGCTCAAACAGCGACAGACGAGACCGTCCTACTATACACCAGAAGATTAATTGGCCTGATTTTATATAATGCGGCTAGGGCGATGCTTAGTCCAGCTACTCGGAGGCGGGCGGTCACTCTCGAGCCGGAGTTTGAGTTGCTGTGGCTAGCTCGCGGCACACTCTAGCATGGACAAGTGAGAACTCTGTCTCAAAAAAAGAATGGAGTGTTAAAATGTAAGTATGAGAAAGTAAAATTTTTCTTACTGAATTTGTACTATATTTAATTTTCTACAAATAGAAAGTACATATGGTATATACATATAGTTTACTATATTATTATTGTAATAGTATGCCTTAAACCTGTATATTGGTAGTTTTTATAAAACTATTTCTTGATTCGTGGGATCAGTGGTAGGTGAGTGGGAGTGTGACTTACACTGAGTTTCCTCAGAAGCATATCCTGAGATAAGGATTTGAGTACAGGAAGTTCACTTGGGAAGTGAGTTCCAGAAGCACCAGTAGAGAAGTGGAGAAGTAATATAGGGAATGGAAAAAAGAAAACCAATAAAGTTACTGTTATCAAGCAGGTAATAGCTATGGGCAACTGAGGCTCAATCCTGCTAAATAACTCTAGCGGATAGGTAAAATTTATAGTTAAGTAATCCCACTGAGAGGCAAGGCTCACCCTGAAGAGAAATACAAATATGGAATGAGGGAGGGCAATAAAGACCCTTTGGCATCTGGTTGCAATTATTGGTACTTGTGTGAGCTCAAACATTTTTAAGTGTGTGTGTGTGTGTGTGTGTGTGTGTGTGTACTTATATGCACACACATACGCACATACCAATAAGCATATCTTACAGGAGATTGAGGGTTTGTTTTTTCCTACATTTAGGGGTAAATTTTTAAATGAAGGAGCTATCTCTGAAGGAGCTGAGATAGGCGGTAGTAGCCTGTAGCTATGTGAGAAATCCCCAAAGGAGAAACCTAGAGGTAAAAGGTTTTCTTTTCCTTTTTGGACGATATCCTTCTAGAGCTCTTCTCTACAGTAAACTGGAAATATTGTGGATTTGAATTTAACAAGAGGTCCCCTGAGAAATCACTTTTTTCTTAATCATTTCAAAATAGCAGAATAACATTTGCCATAAAATAAGCTTTTCTTCACCTTTATATAATAAACATAAGAGAATAACTCTGCATGTTTGCACGCATATTTGATAAAAGAGAGGGTTGTAGGAGAAGGTGTAGCATTATGTAAGAGATTTTATCCTTAGTTTAAAAAACAGAGTGAAGATATCTGATTCTAATAGTGGCAGACAAGGTGCGATAGTTTGAATGTGCCTCAGAGTTCATGTGTTGGAAACTTAATTCCCAATGCAACAGTGTTGGGAGGTGAGGCCTAAAGAGAAGTATTTAGGTCATGAGGTGTCAACCTAAAAAAAAGACACTAGAGTTGGGTTTACTCAGAAATAGAAATAAGGATTATAATATGTAATGCATTAAATAGCAAACCACCAGTGTTTTTGGTGAAGGAAGGGTATGGGGAGCTTTTATTAGTAAAAAAAAAAAAAAAAGAGAGAGAGAGATTTACATAAGTTGCTTAGAAATGTAGTTCATTGATTCCAGAGGTTCAAAGCCAAAGTTGTCAGTTCTCTGGTGGAGATGCTATTACTGGGCAAATGTTCTTTCAAGAACATCTTACCTGAATTACGGTAGTACTAAAGAGTGTCTAGTGATAAACTTTATCAAAACAGGAGATGTGTAAAGCATATGAAAGGGTTTTTAGAAAGTCCTTGGAGAAAGTTCTTATTTCAGACAAGTAAGTGTGAGCCTTACTTTGAGTCTGACAAAAGTGATTTCATCCTGGTATCTGCAACTTTCACAAGGGCTCCCCCCTCATGAATTGATTAATGCCAATTATAAAAGGGTTTGAGGTTACAAGTTCAATCTCTCTTGCTTTCTCTCTCAACCTCTCTTTCCTTTCTGCATTCCATCAAGGGTGACACAATAAGAAGGCTCTCACCAAATGCCAATGCTATGCTCTTGGACTTTCCAACCTACAGAACTGTGAGCCAATATATTTCTGTTCTTTGTAACTTACCCAGTATCAGGTATTCTATTGTAGCAGGACAAACAGACTAAGACACAAGGTAATTTGCATGAATTTCTCACTGAGGGCAACTACAACTCTGCAAGAAATATGAAACATGTGATTCTGGCTAGGTACAGTGGCTCATGCCTGAAATCCCAGTGTTTTGGGAAGCTGAGATGGGAGCATCACTGGAGGCCAGGAGTTCGATACCAGCCTGGGCAACATAGTAAGACCCTGTCTGTACAAAAAATTTAAAAATTAGCCAGATGTGGTGGCATGCACCTAGCTACTTGTAGTCCTAGCTACTTGGGAGGCTGAGGCAGGAGGCTGAGGCTGAGGCTGCTTGAGCCCAGGAGTTTGAGGCTGCAGTGAGCTAAGATTGATCATGTCACTGTACTCAAGCCGAAGCAACAGAGAAAAACCCTGTCTCTATTAATTAAAAAAAAAAAAACTGATTATGAGCATCAACGAGCTAACAAGTGAATGAAGAAGTAGTCGTGAAGATGCATGCTAAAGTGGGACTGTAGAAAATGATTCTGAAATTTGGAACCACTCCTGCTCCAGTTATGTTTATCAGTTCCTGAAGAGGTAGGTGAGAGTCTGAACATCCCTTTTGATAACTCTGCAGTGCTAAGTATGCAAAAGGTAAAGGCCAAAGTAGCAGAAAGAAGGGGGTTTGATAAACTTGAAGGTCTGTACTGCAGGTTAATATGTGAACCAGAATTAGACTAAAAGTAGATTGATAGATTCATTGAAGATATAAGGTAAACTGCAGGCTGGCAGACTTGCCAGAGAGAACTGCAGAAAGAGGTAGCTTGAAAGAGTCTTTGTGGGATCATAAAAAACCTTAAATACTGGTATCAGACACTATACTTTCAACAGAGCATTAAATTTGATTAAAATAGTTTGTGGAGCAATTTATGCTCCCAAGGCATTGTTAGAGAAATAGAGCTATTAACTGGCAGTTAGTAGAGTTCAACAGCTGAAGTGGTGAGGGAACAAAACAGAGAGCCCTGCCAAAACCTGTACAATCATTAGGTGACTGTGGGTAAACCCAAAGCTGTACCCCTAAGAGTGATATCCGAGAACTAAACAAGCAAATAACTATAAACAAGCCCAAGGGGATAGAATTAGGGGAGAACACTCATAACAAAAATTACTACAATATATTATCTACAATGTCCAGGTTCCAATCCAAAAAAGGATAGGAGACATGCAAATAAAAAGGGAATTATGATATAAACTGCGGGAAATTACAGGCAATAAAAACTGTGAGAGCAACTAAATATCACATTTAATGAAGACTTCAGAGTAGTCATTATAAATATAATCAAAGGGACTTACATCGTTTTCGTCCCCTCCAAAGGTCTTTCAAGAAAATTCTTTCAAGGTTTCAAAATACTGTTAATCACTATGCCTGAAAACAAGAAAATTTCTCCTTCTCCTGCTGGAGATGATCAAAGCAAGATAGACCATGCCACATCACAAGGGTTGGTTCTATTTGGTGCCCCTAAGGAAGCCGTTGAAATTTTTCATGAAAGTGAAATGACAAATACTGAAGGGGTGAATAAAGGTATTTACTTTGGCTACCCATGTTGATGTCGCAGCTGTGCTATAGTAAACATCCCAGCACCATGTGTCAACAAAATGATTTCACACATCCAAGATGTGGAGTCCAAAATACAGGAGCACTTAAAAAGGTTTGAAACTTCTTTTGAAGAATGGAGCAGAACTTCTTCCACGAAAGATCTGAAAGAAGATAGGGGTACTAATACACCAGTGGAAGAGGTCAAACCAGAAGAAGGGAGAGATGAAATGTGTCCAGAATTAAAGCAGGAAATGGAAACATTACTATCAGATGCCATCCATCTCATTAAAAGTCTAGAAACTGACCAGGCAGAAACTGAAGAAGCTTTAAAGAAACAAAGATCAAGAAAGACACTGCTTAACACAAAAATCGACTCTTGGTCAATCTGGAAACTTGAAGAACTCCCATTACCTGTGCAGAAAGAACACGAGGCTGATTTAAGAGATTTTATAGAATTACGATGGCATCTTGAAGATAAAGTTAATCAACTAAAACATTTTGAGGAAGAAAAGACACAGTTAGAAGAAGCGAATGCAAAGATTCAAGCAGACATAGACTTCATGATTGAGCGTGGCCCTCTGCTGAGTTAAAGCAGGACCAAGAACCTGTAGCCCTAAAGGAAATTTACACACAAAAAAAGGGAAATAAATAAATGAATGGATATGCATTTCACAAACTGTTAGATATGCAAAAATGGTTTGAACATGAGAAATTAACATTATTGTAAAGGTTTCATTTTCAGTGAAAATTGGCCTGCTGTTTATCTACACATACTACCATCAATTGGTATTCAAGTTAACTGTGTCTTCTCCCCTTATACTTCCCCTTTTCCCCTTTATACTTAGAAGTATTTTTTTTCTTTTATACTTCAGCATATTATGGGGATACAAATGTTTAGGTTAGGTATAGTGCCCTTGTCCCACCTGAGTGAGAGCTTCAAGTGTGTCCATCCCCTCAAAGGCAATCACAGCAACAACAAAAATAAATAAATGGGACCTGGTCAAATTAAAAAGCTTCTGCACAGCCAAGGAAACTATCAGTAGAGCAAACAGACAACCTACAGAATGGGAGAAAATATTTGCATGTTACATATCCGATAAAGGGCTGATAACTAGAATCTATATAGAACTCAGGAAAATCAACAAGAAAAAATCAAACAACCCTATCAAAAAGTGGGCAAAGGACATGAACAGAAACTTTTCAAAAGAAAATAGACTAATGGCTAACAAACATATGGAAAAATGCTTAACATCCCTAATCATCAGGGAAATGCAAATCAAAACCACAGTGAGATATCACTTATCTCCAGTGAGAATGACCTTTATCAAAAAGTCCCCAAAAGTGATAGGAACACTCATACACTGCTGGTGGGACTGCAAACTAGTGCAACCTCTGTGGAAAGCAATATGGAGATACTTAGAAATACTAATAATATTTAATATACCTACTAATAAAATTTTCGAGGTTTATAATAGCTTGGTATTTTTAAAGCTGTCATTGGACTGAGGGCGAATGCAAGAAGAATATATCAGTAAATTTTATTGTTGATGAAAATATATAAATGAAGTAAAGTTGTTTTAATGATTAAACATTTAGCTCTTCTATTGTGGGATCATATTATATTTAAAAATATATATATACCTGGCACAAAATGAAAATTGCATCATAGTTGCTTATAGACATTTTAAAGTAAATAAACAAGTTGTTAAATGTTTCCATTTTCCTCCTTCCTTCACCAAGATAATTCTTTATCATGAATTTCATCTGTTTCTAAGCAAAATTTGTATAATTATAATATGCATGTGTTTATAAATAATAAATTATATTTTAATTACAAAATAAATAATAAATATAATCAAAGAACAATAGAAGCCATGTTTAAAGCAGCAAAGGAATGTATAATGACAATGTCACATCAGAGAATATCAGTAAAGAAATAGGAAGTATAAAAAAGAACCAAATGGAAATTCTGGAGTGAAAAGTACAATAACTGAAAAAAAATCACTGGGTGGGGGGAGGCTCAATAATAGATTTCAAACTGGCAGAAGAGTTAACAAACTGAAGATCAGTAGATAGAGATAATTCAAACCAAAGACTAGTGAGAAAAAAGAATGAAGAAAAATAACAAGAGTCTCAAGAAGAAACGAGGTCACCATTAGGCACATCAATATGCATATGTGAATACTAGAGGAGAAGAGATTAAAGGAAAAATATTCAAAGAATGAAAACTTTCCAATTTATTGAAAAGTATTAACACATTCAGGAAAGTCAATTAACTCCAACTGGGATAAACACAAAGATAAATCAAAGGTTTGGATCCACAAATAGTAAAATTACTGTGAGCTAAAGACAAGAGAAAATCTTGAAAAAAGCAAGAGAAATAACTTAACCACTCTCAAAGAAAACCCCACTTATAAGATTAACAGCTAACTTCTAATGGGGTTTATAAAGCAGTGGGATAACAAAAAGTGCTCAAAGAAAAGTACTGTTAAACAAGAATTCTATATTGATGGGTTAATGGGTACAGGTCAAAGAATACAAAGTTTCAGTTTTAAAATAAATAAGTTCTGAGGATCTAATGAACACGGTGGTGATTCCAGTTAATAATATTGTATTTCTTTTTTTTTTTTTTTTTTTGAGACAGAGTCTCACTTCTGTTGCCCAGGCTAGAGTGTCATGGCATCAGCCTAGCTCACAGCAACCTCCAACTCCTGGGTTCAAGGATCCTCCTGCCTCAGCCTCCCCAGTAGCTGGGACTATAGGCATGTGCCACCATGCCCGGCTAGTTTTTTGTATATATGTTTAGTTGTCCAGCTAATTTCTTTCTATTTTTAGTAGAGACAGGGTCTCGCTCTTGCTCAGGCTGGTCTTGAACTTCTGACCTTGAGCGATCCTCCCACCTCAGCCTCTCAGAGTGCTAGGATTACAGGCATGAGCCACTGCGCCAATATTGCATTTCTTACTTGAAATTTGCTAAGAGAGTAGATCTCAAGTGTCCTCACCACACACGTACACACACACAAGGGTATCTACGTGTGTTGATAAATGTGTTGATTAATTTGATATGGTAGTCATTTCACAATGTGTGTATATATCAAATCATCACACTGTACACATTGAATATATGTAATTTTTATCAATTATATTACCGTAAAGCTAAAAAAAAGAAGCCTATATCCAGCAAATATATCTTTCAAAATTGAGAGAACTTTTTCTAGCAGATCCAACTTACAAAAAATACTAATGGAAGCTCTTCAGGCTGAAAAACAAGTGACCCTAGGGGTCCTCAAACTTTTTAAACAGGGGGCCAGTTCACTGTCCCTCAGACCGTTGGAGGGCTGGATGATAGTTTAAAAAAAACTATGGACAAATTCCTATGCATACTGTACATATCTTATTTAGAAGTAAAAAAACAAACAGGCAAAAACACCTGCATGTGGCCCGCAGGCCGTAGTTTGAGGATGCCTGCCCTAGATACTAAGTCAAATCCACACCAAAAACAAACAAACAAAAAAGCATGGGTAAATGGAATTATGTAATTATAAAAGACAGTATAAATTATATTTATTCTCCTTTCTCCTCTTATCTGATTTAATGAGCAATATCAATTGTATGTAAAGAAATTATGATGTGTGTGTATATATGTGTGTGTGTGTATATATATTTTTTATATATATATAAAACATAACATTATTCAGGCTTATAACACAAGAAGATCCTACCATTTGCAGCAACATGGAGGACATTATGCTGAGGGAAATAAGCCAGATATGGGCTAAGCCCTCATGAGCTAATCACCCCTAAACTGTCCTACCTCTTAATACCATCACAATGGTACTTAAATTGCAACATGAGTTTTGGAAGGAACATTCCAACCACAGCCCCCACTGATAGGGTGGTTACAAGGAACAAAGCCAAGCTTACAGTATGGAAGCCCACAGGCAGGAGATGCCCTGAACCAGTGATACATACTTGATCTACTGGAGAGACTCAGTGGCAAATCTACCTGGCCACAGCTGTAGCTTTTCAATTACCCTATTGATCATCTTGATTTTTTTTTTTTAATTTCAGAATATTATGGGGGTACAACCGTTAAGGTTACATACATTGCTCTTGTCTCCCCTCCCCCCTTGAGGCAGAGCTTCAAATGTGTCCATCCACCAGACGGTGTGCATCACATCTCGAGTTTTATTTGTGGCTTATTGGTAGAGGACACATGGGACCAGAATGAGTGTCACCAATGGATAGCTGAATAAGATCTCATGAATATTGAGTACTTTCACATACTAAGTTACTTAGTGCATCTTGAATATCAAGAGCCTCTTATATATTTAGCGTATCATGACTATTTAAGTGTTTTTAGTGCTTCATGAATATTATGTATTTCTTGGTTCTTCCAACCCTTTCTATTTGTTTAACACACACATATATATATTTAGCACATCTAAAAAGAGTTTCAATAATCTCATTTTTTTGAGACGGGTTGTGCTTTGTAGGCCCAAGCTGGCCTCAAAATTCTGAGCTCAAGCAATCTCCCACCTCAACCTCCTGAAGAGCTGAGACTACAGGCACACAGCACCACATCAGCTAATCCATTTGTTTTCCTTTCTTTTATAGCAGAGTTGAATATTCTCAAACAATACAAAATATGCACATTACACTATTAGGAACACTGTATATTTCTTCATTTATTTTATTAAAATCTCTTTTAATATCTTTCAACAGTTTTTCTGTCTCCTTAAATAATTTACACAACAGTTCCTAACAACTTATTCCCAGGTACCTTATATCTTTTGTTGATATTGTAAATGGATCTTTTAAATCTTTAATAATACTTTTACTAACATTCTCTCACTTTATTCAGGCAATGCATTATAGGTGAAAGAGCATGATCTTTAAAGTTAGATAAAGATAAACCCAGGGAGTCTACTTACTAGCTATGTAATCTTGGGCTTTTCAACCTCTCTGAAAGTCAGCTTTTTCATTTACAAAATAAAAGTAGTAATGTGCAACCTACAGCATTCCTGTAAAATGTGAATGAGATGATTTGTTGTGTGGAGCTCTCCTGTGCATTGTCGGATGTTCAGCAGCATCCCTCACCTTATCCACTGATAGCACTAGCCCAAACTCCCACCTCCAGTTAAAAAAAAAAATCAAATGAGAAAATGTATATAATGTACATAGAATTAATAAGTTATCAAATATTGGCAGTTATTATTATTAGTGAGCCATTCTGGGCTCTGGGCATAACTGAATTTTTACATTTTTATGAACAATGAATCTCTTATTTTAATCAGACTTGACAAAAATATTTCTGATATATATTAAATAACTGCTTCCAAACAGAAAATAGGGAGTAACATTTAACATTTTATTGATGACTCAGAATTATCATTATGAATTATTGTAACTTCAATAAAGGGGAAAAGAAACATACACTCATTGAATGCATACACAGTATTCTAGGCAATTTATATCCATCACAGGATTCAAGCCTCATAGTAGCTCTTAGAGGTAGGCACTGTTATTCCCTTTTATTTATTTATTTTCTTTTTTTGAGACAGAGTCTCACTCTCTTGCCCAGCCTACC